TAACCATTAAAAATATATATCTGATTTATGAAAGAGTTGAAAGAGTTGATATATTTAGTGTTGACTGCTCTTCTTTATATCTTTAACAATTCACTCTGATGTGCAAGAAATTCAGTTCAGGGCCATATCCAGACCACACCATTCTTGTCTTTTTAGAGTTTGGAGATTATTACAGATCCTCTCATCCAATGGGTGCTGTATAATTTACTTATGTAAATTATACAGCAAAAGCCAGTCGCCGTAATCCAGTCGCCGGACATCCTGCACAACTTTAGCCTGGGCTTTGTGTTTTGCTTGGACTGAAGTGGCTTCTTCGGATCCCACAGCATTTGTCCAAAACCTCTGCACTGATGGCAAGATGACTCTGGTGAATTCATCTCTTTCCTGAACAGTATGATGGCTGTCCAGAATATTAATCTGCACCCTCAGGCAAAATTAGATAAATCCATGAGCGTGCCTGCAATTAACTTCAATGTTGTGAATTAACTTATCAGAAGTTTGCAAGAAATTACCTTCTCATCTGGGCTTCCAGAAATTGCATAGTAATAAAAGAAGTAGTGTTTAGCTAAATAAAGCTTATTGCAAAGAATTAATATGTGCCTGATTATGCTGCAACATAAAATAAAAACAGTATGAACTGTCACCACACAATACATATTTTCAAACTTTACTGTCAAAATGAGGCATTGAAGGGATTTCTGGTTTTAATTTGCTTGGCACAATCTGCAGTCATTGTAGTACAAGGTCAGACAGTCTGATCTCTCAATGCTGAAACACCTGGTTGCCTTTTGCTAACATTATAAAATAAAGTAAAAAATTAATACTAATCTTGTGCTTTCCAAAACAGAATTAATGATTAGCAAACTATATTGTACTTTTTGGGGTTTTAGGCTAGAGATAAACAAATGGTGCCCAGATTATTACAAACAGTGATAAAATCCAACTTGAAAGGCATGGATCAGACACCAAATTAAGCATCATTAGCTAGAATGAAGAAAAGTGACTTATAGACAAACCCGTAAGCTATAGCTTTCCTTGGATCTTTTAACCACATCTTACTGATCTGTCAGTAAAGTTGGCCCAGTCATCCACATATCAAGTGGAGAGACGTGGCCAAATAGACTTCTGCATATCTGTGAATTACATTCAAAAAGTGATGAAAAGAATGACAAAACTGAATTTAGTGAAAGTATGTGTTTGGCTTCCCTTTGGTCTGGCTCAGGTTTTGGATCACTATCCTGAAAGATTTGCTGGGTTTTGTTTGTGTGCTATTGAAGCCAGGGTTGTGGTGGTGTTCCTGACTTGTGCAAAAAAAAGCAGAATATTTCCCTCTGCGTGCTGTAATAACTCTTGTCAAGATGTTCACTCTCCATGCTGCCTTTCCAGCAGAGTTTGCTGCTAAACAATTATTTCACTGTTTATCCCGGTGGGGAGTGATCAAACAGGAACTTTTCATTCTCAGTTAATGTCATTATCATCTTAAGACTTTAAGAATTATGTATTATTTTTTTCTATATATGTCATGCACCAAGATTATCTGTATCTTTTGAAACATTTAAGTAATCTTGTATTAACTCATTAAAACTCTTTTTATGCACATATATCAGAAATAATAGAGTTTAATTTGCCTTTCCCTCTCAGCTTTAGAAGCTTTTGCTTTACAGAGTACTTTACCCAGGAGGGTGTCTTTATTGTCCAAGAGGTCCCTAAACTGTCATCATCTTTATTAACATATCAAGAATACAGAATGGTCACCAGGTCATTCAGTGGACCCTCCCATTAAAGAGTTAGTGGTTCTTTAATCAGTTTCCACTGGGGACGGATCAAATTCACTTTGCTCCTATTAAATTAGAGCACAAACGGCATGCACTGTAGTGTTCAGCCTATGTGGAAAAGGCAGAGAGAAGCTGCATTCATATGCTGCAAAAATGGATTTTAACATGCTTACTGATATAAAACGTGACTGAATTTGCCACATTTAGCCTTATTTTTCAGTTATTAACCATTTGTCATTAGCACATGGTATACACAGTAAGTGAAGATGACTTGATCATCTGTAAAGTTGTTAGACGTTCAGTCAAAACAGGAAAACTATATATTCTAAGATTTATGGGTGTTTACGGATGTACAGTGGACTGAACAAGAATTTGATACACTGCTGATTTTGCAGGTTTTACCACTTGTAAAGCATGTAGAGGTCTTTAATTTTTTATCATTGGTGCTTTTGAACTGTGAGTGATGGAATCTAAAACAAAATTCCAGAACATGACATTATGTGATTTTTAAGTAATTAATTTGCATTTCATTTCACGGCATAAATATTTTATCACATAACAACCAGTAGGAATCCCAGCTCTCACAGGCCTGTTAGTTCTTCTTTAAGAAGCCCTCCTGTTCTCCACTCATTACCTGCACTAACTGCACCTGTTCGAACTCGTTATCTGTATAAAAGACACATGTCCACACATTCAATCAAACAAACTCCAACCTCTCCACATTGCCCAAGACCAGAGAGCTGTGTAAGGACCTTAGGGATAAAATAGTAGACCTGCACAAGNCCCAAGACCAGAGAGCTGTGTAAGGACATCAGGGATAAAATAGTAGACCTGCACAAGGCTGGGATGGACTACAGGAAAATAGCCAAGCAGCTTGATGAGAAGGTGCCAACTGTTGGTGCAATTATAAGAAAATGGAAGAAATTCAAGATAATGGTCAATCTCCCTCAGTCTGAGGCTCCATGCAAGATCTCACCTCGTGGCATCAGTGATCATGAAGAAGGTGAGGGATCAGCCCAGAACAGCAGGACCTAGTCAATGACCTTAAGAGAGCTGGGACCACAGTCTCAGAGAAGACCATTGGTAACACGCTACACCGCCATGGATTAAAATCCTGCAGCGCACGCAAGGTCCCCCTGCTCGGGCCAACGCATGTCAAGGCCTGTCTGAAGTTTGCCAATGACCATCTGGATGATCCAGAGGAGGAATGGGAGAAGGTCATGTGGTCTGAGACAACAATAGAGCTTTTTGGTCTAAACTCCACTCGCCATGTTTGGAGGAAGAAGGATGAGTACAACTCCAAGAACACCATCCTTACCGTGAAGCATGGAGGTGGAAACATCATGCTTCGGAGATGCTTTTCTGCAAAGGGGACAGGACAGCTGCAACGTATTGAGGGGAGGATGGAGGGGGCCATCTATCGGGAGATCTTAGCCAATCTTCAATGCCCTCATTAAGGGCATTGAAGATGGGTCTTGGCTGGGTCTTCCAGCATAGCGACCCGAAGCACACAGCCAGGGCAACTAAGGAGTGGCTCTGTAAGAAGCATCTCAAGGTTCTGGAGTGGCCTAGCCAGTCTCCAGATCTGAGAATTGAAATCTTTGGAGGAGCTGAAAGTCCGTATTGCCCAGCGACAGCCCTGAAACCTAAAGGATCTGGAGAAGATCTGTATGGAGAAGTGGTCCAGAATCCCTGCTGCAGTGTGTGCAAACCTCGTCAAGAACTACAGGAAACATATGATATCTGTAATTGCAAAATAAGGTTTCTGTACCAAATATTGAGTTTTGTTTTTCTGATGTCTCAGATACTGATGTCATGAAATTAATTACATAAAAATCTTCTGATTTAAAGACTTCTACATGCTTTGCAAGTGGGAAAACCTGCAAAATCGACAGTGTATCAAATACTTGTTCTCCCCACTTCACTAAAACAGCTACTCCATATACGTCCATTTCTTGGGTGAAATTTAGCTTTGATGACACCCACCTAGTTCATTCCAGTAACATTTCTATCTAAAAGCTCTGAAAAGAAGAAATAATCATGCTGTGGTATGTAACAAGAAAAAGGAAACACTTAAATGATGCAGAACCTGAGCCTGTTTGATTTAAGTCTCTTAGTTTTCCTTAACTTTAAACCAAAATGGTTCTGTTAATGATGTTGGATTTGCTTCAAACCCATCAGAAATGCTGACACGGTGTGTATTTTTCCTGAGCATTTGAGACTTACTCTATTAAAAAGGCCTTGTACACACACAGAGCCAGCAGCACAGTGACAGGCAGCCTGAAGCTCTTAGGGAGGTCATATCGGGTGAACATCCACACTACAGCTGCCATGGCAATATAATGGACCTACACACACACACACACACACACACACATCGATTAGTAGAGTATACAGGTTCTAAACATAAACAAGTTCATTTAAATACAAATTTGTGTTTCTGGAAAAGGTCACCATGTCATCTAATGAAAGAAGAGTGAATAAGTAGCACAGCTACTCACCAAACTAATGTTTGAGTCAAAGCTCATCTGGATGTACTTCCAATCAAACTCGATTCCTCTGGCACCAACCCAGAGAGGAAGAAACCTGAAGAACCATGATGGTAGACAAACAGAACTTATACACATAGGGTAATTTTACTGAAAGGTTTTCTTCACAGGAAGACAGTTTCTTCTAACCTTGACATCACCAGTTCTGCTGTGGCCCAGCCCATGGCAGCAACCATGATCTTGTACTCTCCTTTCCCAGCATTACGAGACATCACTAGATGCAGACCCAACAGGTCAGCCAGGTCCACTGTGGACTTCATGAACTCCTGAGAAACAAATAAACACGGTTCTACAACGTGTTCTATGTTATCTTGTGGAGACTAGACAGATGTTTCTTCTTTCCTTATTTTAGTTCTACAGGAAACATTAAACTACTCACCCCAACAAAGTCATAAACACCGGCTCCTCCTTCCCAGGTGGGGAAAAATGTAGCGAGAAACAGCATCTGGAAGACAGAAAGATGATGGCTTGCTTACACTTTCTCATACAGAACAACATCCATGTGTAAAGATGTGATTTCTGTTGATGCTCAGTAGGGATGTACCGAGGACCCGGCCAGTCACCGTCCGGTCGGTGACTCAAAAATCAGATCTTTTTTTCTGGATCAGTGAACACAAGATACAAAAGGGCGACAACGTCTTGCTAACAAAGCTCTTGCACAAAGACATGCAGCAAATGGCTAGAGATTAGGAATCGAACCCAGGACAATGGCATCGAGGTCTATAGCCTCGACACATGGTGCGTCTGCTCTACCAACTGAACCACCCAGCACGCCCAAGTTGCTCTGTTTTATCATAAAACAATTTTAAACTGTAAATTTTAACAGCCTTTTGACAATCTTAGCTTTAAGGATCTATATCTTCTACCACATACGGTTAATCTTTAAATGAAAGCAGATTTTAAAAAAAATCGTTTCTTTACTTTGCAAAGTTGGACAAACAGGTACGTTGCTCCAGCCTGGACACATCTCCAGAAAGCATTGTACTCCGAGCTAAATAATATGCACACAAACACAGAGTAAGGTTAATTAGTAGGACTAGAACAGACTGAAGGGCATGTCAGTTTGTATGAAATATAGGACAATTTTCACTTTATGATGCACTGCTTTAGGATATGAGTGAAGTTAACTGTGGTTGATTCAAGAGAACAATACATAGACCTAAAAGGATTACAGGGCCCCTCTCCCAAACCCTGACATAACTAAGAAGCTTATAAGAGAACGTAAGAGTCTCAGAGCATATGTTACTGCTGCAGCTGAGGAGTGCATTAACCAGGAATCTACAAATAGGAACACAAAACATTATATTTGTTCTTTCCATAATTTTAATCAAGCCAGCCCTATGTGCTCAGATTGAACTGTTGGCAGTACACTGACTATTTATTCAGACACTCACAGGCCGCTGCACTTGTATGTGATAAAGTAAGGGAAATAAGCCAGGGCAAAGCAGTTTCCAAAGTGAAAAAGTGTCATCGCATCTGTTGATGAAAATCAGCTCCCTGTACAAAGACAAAAATAAATACAGATAAAAATTTTCATGTAAAAATGCCTAGTAAATGTGTTTAGTCTGATATAAACAGAGTTAAATACCGATTAAAGTTTTCAGGCCACCTCCATTACATTAAATACTCTAAAGAACAATTCAATATTTACCCTTTTAAATTATTCAGAAATTACAATATAGTTGTAGCAGTAAGTGATCGAGAATTTGGTTTACATTCTGAGCACTGTGCGAAAAAGTTTTTTTACATATACAATTTTTAGTTATATTTAAACAGATTCTAATGACCAGACTTAAAAAACATCATGGATCTAAAATATGTTGCAACACAAATACCGCAGTTTTTACACTTGATATAAAAACAACTAAAATATCTTTCAGAGCTAGGTAAAGACGTAACACGGGGAAAAGGCGTTGAAATGTTGCTAAAATACAGGAGAATGCAACCATCAGCTAGCTAAGCTACACTAACATCACCCTCATCCTTGGCAAAACGAAGCTCCGTAAATCTACCGTCACTTCTTCTCGGATAAACACACAGCTTGTTTGATTCAGTTAACAGGTAGATATGCCACTCACACACGGAAACTAAAAATATTTAATATTTTCACTGACTGAGATGACACGGCTGGTTATACGCACACCGTCGAGCAGCTGAGTAGCTGAATGACAAGCGGAAGTCGGTAAGCGTCTCTCCAAACTACCTCCGACTACCGATACTGTGCGAACCAAAGAAAGGTTCCCACATGATGCTTTCAGTAGTTTTCACCTCTGGAGCGTTCATTTAAATATTTTTTCACCATTGTCAACTTTTTGGGTTATTTAAGGCTAAGTATGACCGGTGTGTATGACGTAGTCCTGCCTTAGCCACAGTTCTACTATAAAAATGAATTTAAAAACAAAATCAAGCACATTACCTTGTAAATGTAATGTTGAGGGAAAGTTAAATGCACATACATTTTTTGGCAACAAATTTTAACCTAATAGTTTGATCAGAATTTTCAGGAGGATGGTCTGGTCAACAGTTATTCTCATTTGTTGTGTGTACCATCCAACAGAGAAGATTAAGGCTGAAATATGTATGGGTTGTATTATTACTTACACTTAAGAAATGTCAGAAAATCTTTGGTTGAAAAAGTTTTTGTTGTAGCAAGAATCTCATTTCTGCACCTCTGTGACTCCATTACCTCAACAGGAACTTCATTTATTAATTTATTGAAATATTTAGTTATGTATTTACTATGCATGTAATGTGTTTGCCTCATATGTGACTGGTGTGTTGTACTTAATTTGTACAACACGCCAGTCAGATGTAGTTAATTTTCCTTGTCCAGCAGGTAAGGCATGGCTTGTGCACTTGTGCTTTCCAGCAGTAGAAAATGTTCAGTCTTGTTTATTTGTTTCTTTAACATATTCAATTTCCTGACATTTATTACACAAATGTTCTGCTAAAGCTAAGTAATTCCATGAGATTAAAAACATATATATTATTAAATAGCTCTTGTCAGAGAGAGCCTTCCTCCAAGGTCACATACATATGCCTAAAGTTTGCCCATACCAGCTTATTCACACAAGTATTACACTCTACCAAAGACTTTTAGAAGGGTTTGTAACATTTTTTCCCTTACACCACCTTTCTTTTCCTACCCATATCTCTGTTTCTGCTTCCGAGTTGTGGGTTTATTTTTTGAATAACTTTAATATTGTCAGATCCCTTTCTTTTCATATCTAAATAAATTCCAAATAAGTTTTAGATTTTTATGAAATATGTTGCTAGAAATAAAAAAAATATATAATAATTACATTTAAAAGGTTCTACAGTTCGTCATAAAACAGCACATCACAAAGAAAAAAAATTCTTACTCATGCTTTTGTCAATAAAAAAAAAAAACATGTTATATTTCTAAATACATCCACTTTGAATGAAATTGTAAAACTTTACAGTCCTAAAGTGAAAAGACATCCATGTTTTCCTCCTTTTGTAATAGCAGATGAAGTTTCTTCTCTCTGAGCAGTCCCTGATGATCCAGTTAGCTGTGTTGTATTTGGACATCGTGCCACAGTGTTCCCACTGGTTCGGACAGTCTGGCAGCATCTCTTGGGGGTCCAACGTCTTTCCATCAGACTGCCACCACTCCCCTCCTAGAAACTGCAATCCTGTCCAAACCTAATAGACATGAGTCAAGGTTTAAATGAAGTTCTGAAAATAAACAAGATTTTCATAGTTTTACACTTGCAGAAACTTGAAACAAGAATCAATCTTAAGTGATCCCCAGACCTCCTCAGTTGTGGCTCTGTAGATCTGATCTCTCACATAGCTGAAGTCATATGAGTTTCTAAAGCTCAAGAGGTCATACTTATAGATTGCTGTTGTCATTTCCCTGCAGTGGTTCAGAGCATCCTCTCATGTCTTATTCTCAGCACCAGATTGTCTTCATAGCAACTGAAGTAAAGCTGTTTGGAGCAATTCTTGCTGTACCACCTTTTAAGAAAGCTGTTATAAGAGCCACATCTGTCTTTAAATTGCTGTCCCATGGCCCAGTTCTTGCTCTGTGAGACATCCTCTCCTGTTAAGCCTTTACCAGTTCTGAAACAAACACAACAATAACATAAATGTCTGAATTTAAATAATAGTTACATTTTATATCTGACGCCAGGCTGACTCACTTTACATTGATAAACTTCCAGACCAAGTCTCGTTCAGGATCCTCATGCAAACCAATCCAGACATTTCTGATTTTTTTTTTCACCAGCAGGTTCATGTTCATCGTGTCCCAGGTAAACATGTCAATGTAATTATTTTGGCAGTACTCTCTTGCTTCAGTCCATGTCAGTTTCAAACCAGGAAAGTAAATTGTTCTTTGGAGCCTCGCTTCCATCCAAATAACAGTATTAAAAAGGAAGAGCAGCATAAGCTCAGGACGGCTCTTCTTCCCCGTATTCAGTGCTGTTGTTACATAAAGTCACATCTGTCAGTGGGAGAGAAGATGCCGCTCTCAGTTTATGCCAGTGTACAGACTGGTGCCAAATCGACACACCTCACAACCTTCAGCAGACCAGTAACACCACTCCCTGCATGTTGGTGGAGATTTGTCACCCTAGTAATGCATTTATATGCCACACTTTCCAGTTTTAGTTTGTGTTCACAATTGTTTACCTGATGTGTCTCGACATGTTTTTAAAGGAATATTTTCTTCCAAACTGATAATAGAAATAATCATTATGGAGGAAAAAATAAAAGCACAAATAGTTCTGTTAAAGTAGTTTTCCTAAATAAATCCGGAAATCCAAAACTAGTCGTTTGTGTTTTTATGGTTGTGTTATTCAAATTTTATTTGCATTTAATTAAGATAGTTTTAATTAGTCTTTGAGACGCGAGAGGAAAACCTGACTTTAGGTAAATGACTCCATTTGACATGCTAATTACCACTGTCAGTGTTGATTTACCTCTCTCTGCTTTAGGCACATTTGAAATAATAAAAGCAGAGCAGATGAGATGAAGATGGACATAGGCAGAATACTTAGACATTCACTTCTTAAGCTGGACTTTGTGGCCCCCAAATTGGGATTAGGACCATCCTCTGGTTAATGAAACACCAAGTAGTCGGTCTTGAAAAGATCTTCATCAGTCAAATAACTTTAAAAGGACTATTAACAGTTTATCATGTATGCCACAAAGGTTAACATGATAAAATAATTTTAAAGCTTATTGATTGTTGTGCAGAATAGAGTTTGATTTGGTATTTAGCAACCGTTATTAATTTTGTTTAATAATTTCCTATTATAAACAAAATTATTAACAAAGTTAGAATATTAACTTTTTAGTCAGACTAACAAATCAGAGCACCACTGATGGGCAACAGTGATTGGTTTTTTGGTATTGGACTTGTATTTGTGAAACTGTGTATAGCCACGCCCACAATGCTGTACCATGAGTGTCAGGAGATAGCTTTGACTCGCTTGTGTCTTCATTGCATACCTTCTCTGAGTTTATCAGTGTGTCTAACTCTGACAGTCTTCTATGTATTTGTGTATAAAGTCCTTGGAAGCAGGTTGCAATAATCAAGTCTTTTAAGGCTCATCAAGGGAGCATATAAGGAGTAGGCTGTGGATCATTTGACGCCGAGTGTCAACCCTAGTGGTACCTCTAGCCCTCTGAGCCTTGTACCAATTATCTGAGTTTTGTAATCACTCTAACCCTAAGTTCTCCTCCTTTCTGAAGGTGCCACCCAAAGCTCTGGCTGTTGTTTCCTCTAAACTAAATATTTGACT